GTAGTAGTAGTACTAGTAGTAGTAGTACTAGTAGTACTAGTACTAGTACTAGTAATAGTAGCTGAGCTGCGAGCACACTTACCAACTTGCAGTAAAATCTACAACAACCAACTTTGAGCCTGCGTTGGTTAATTCTACTTGGAATTTTGAATCATCTGGTACTACTATCACGTTACTAGCCATTATATGTAACCTTATGCTCTGTTTCTAGAATAATTCTAGCGTGACTTAGCGAAATAACGCCGCTTCGCTGATCGCGGTTGCGTACTGACCGAAACGTCATCATATCTTGTGTGTTGGTTAGGTGCACGCGGATGTATAGGTCCACAATTTGTTTACTGTTGTTATATAATTTCGATAACACAATCAACACCATAGCTAAAATTATATTTTCCTTCATTTTATATATATCTATATGCTGACAAAAACAGAAAACCATAATTTTCCTTATTACAATATAAATTGTCTACAGGAAGCCGTTATCTACTTTTATAGCCCTACACATGCGTAACGTCACTAACTACGTCATTCCACACGCTGTAGGACTGTGACAGTGTGTGTCATCTGAGTGTGTCATCACTTGTAAAATTTCATTGAGCGTTAACTCAAGATCACAACGTTTAGATTGACTAATGGCATCTGTTTTACCGTGTTTTACTATCGGAAAAGTTGTTCAGGGGTTCGGCAGAGGTAGCAGGCAGCTGGGTATACCGACAGGTAACCGAAGAAATCCTAGATTTTTGTGAAAATATCGCTGTTCGACTTCAAGTTCAACTTTCGGCCCAAGGATAGAGAACATGGGTCCCAATAAATTTAAAACCAATGTGGCTAAACCTAACCCTAACCCTAATTCTAACACTAACCCTAACCCTAACCCTAATCCTAACCCTAACCCTAACCCTAACCTATTATATTGATATAATATTATATTTATATTGATGAATGATGTAAATGACATTGGTTTTATTGGGACCTATGTTCTCTATCCTTGAACCCAACTTTCAAGTTCGTGAGCGTGCTTTTGTCAATTTTGTGCGTTAGTTTATGAAATACATTTGCAGCTTACAAGACACGATTACTCGTCGAAGGAAGACGTACGCTTAAAACATTAATTATGTCTCTTGTCCATGCCGCATCTAGTAATTCATTCTGAAGAGAGAAGCGTCAGCTCCAGGTTACCGTTAGGATAGGTCCGCGTGGATTGTTATTTACGTTGTCCTTGGAAACTTAGTTTAGTTTTAATATCAAACCATAAGCATAGATATAGAAGAAGATAATAATAGAAGAATCTTCTTCTATATCTATGATCAAACAGACAATATTTCTACACATTTTGTGAACGTGTGAAGCTATATCATATGTACTCTGTGTGTAAGTGCACATAGGCCGAGTGTTTGGTAACATGTATATAGTGCTAGTACTAGTAGGTTATTTATTATCACACTAATATCAGGGTAGCTCTAGTACTATAGCCCGCGGATCGCTGCCAAAAGCTGCAGCATATGCAGGCCTGCGGCAGCGATCCGCGGGCTATAGTACTAGAGCTAATATCAGGGATGGGGAGCCTTGACCTAAATAACTTTACGGTTCAAGATACAATAGTATGATTAAAAGAATATTGCGAATTTAAATTATTTCCTCGTTTTTAGCTCACCTTGACATCGTCAAGCTGAGCTATTGCCATGGGTCGTCGTCCGTCCGTCCGTCCGTCC